GAATAAAGGAAAAAATGTTCCCTCCATAGAGGTTAAGCCTACATGAGGCTACGATAAATAAACCCTTTGCCAAACGTTGAACTTCAAAGCTCCACAGAGGCCTCCTCGCCATCGCTAAACTGATTGATGCATTGAAGACCTGAATGACGACTGTCAGCATTATGGATGATGATACAGGCTATATATTCAAATATATTTATATATTTGATGCTGATCTGTTTTTAGATGAATTCTTTTCAAAAAATCTCTTATTACTTTTGCATGCAAAACATTTCCCGACATGATTGAAACACATTTGACTAAAAACAAGAAATCAGATTCTGCTGTTTTTGAACATAATTAATCTTTAGAAATATGTGATTGAACTTTAAATGTGTGGTAGAAACATGAGGGGTTTAATTTTCTGATGACCTCTGGCCTCTAAGAGGAAATGTGTAATTTTGATGTTTGGTGCTCATTCAGAATAACCTGATTACATGTCCGCTAATCAGGTGGTCAATCTGTATAAACCACCATTTACTGGAGTTCAGTGTCGACTCGTCATGTGAGAAACTGGTGTAGGTTAGAGGGCTCTGAGTCAGCTTTATGTTTTAAAACTGTTTACATTGTAAAGCTGCTGTTGTTTTAAGCTTAAGGCTTGAGATCTGTTAAATGATCATCTGTAGTTGAGTTTAGAGGAGCTCTGATGAAATGTTGACCTGTTTCTCCTGTTTGTTTCTCTCAGGCTGATCGGCTGGGGGCAGATCAGGAGAGGCGTGACCATCACACCAACGGTGGACGACGACTGAGAGAGACACGTCAGCCAGACCGCTCCAACACCCCCACTCCTTTAGGATTTTTTTTGTTTTGTTTTGTTTTTTTGCAACTGGGACATTTCACTGGTTTAAAGATGCCTTCTAGATCTCTGCTGGAGGAGGAGGAGCTCCTATGCAGCAGGAATCCAGATGATGCAGAGGACTTCCTGCATTGGCTTCAGATTTAACAACCAATAAAATACATTTGGAAGGATCTTCTGTGTCCCTGAGCTTTTCTTGGTGACTTTAAACTGGATAAACAATAAAGAATTAACTAGTGATAAAACTCCGAGGGGTTAAAGCTCAGAGTGTAATTTATTTATTCTCAGTGGTAGTTAAGTCTGTCCTGCATGTTTTTCAACCAATTACTGATCTTGGGCTTAATCACCATATTCTGCAGGAGTGAGGAAGTGTTCATTTAAAGTTCTGCATTTCCATAAAAGGAAACGTCTGAAACATCCATTAAATAAGCCCTGCAGGACTATAAACTTCTTAATGATGTATAACGGCTCAGAATGAATTTAATCCACAAGGTCCCTTAGAAAAATTATGAAAATAGATGTTCCTCCTGAAACGCCTTACTTTATCTAAACAGTTACCGTAAGTCTGTTCCTCCAGGCTTTCTGATGCAGGGTAAAAATGATGATGATGATTTAAAATGTAATACTTTATAATGAAGTAGATCTTTATAGGGCTATCCACCCTTATAGAGTTGATTGGTCTGTAGTAGAGATGCACGATATAATCGGCCCCCTATCGGTATCGGCCTTAAAACTGAATATCAGACATCGGCCACCCCACCGATATTTAACCCGATATTTGATCAGCTTCTGAGTTTCTAAAGTCTAAAAAAAAAATACTACTACTTCTTCCTCA